GAAGTACACTGCAAGACATGTCAAACAACACGTTGTATCTTAACTGCAGCAGAAAACGAGTTTCCACCGAAACTTGCTTGAAAAAGTCTCTTCTTTGCCACTTTATCCACGTTATATTTGAGCTCCTCTGATATTTCCAAGGAATTCTCTCAAATATTCGCCGCTTTTCTTTATGGACCGTTTCCTTTCTGGAGTGTCATAGTCAACCCTGAAGAAGATGGCAATCAAAATCATCTACAAGTAAAAATTGCGACAAAAACTAATACCTGTACAGCCCGAATCTCACTGCGAACCCATCGTGCCACTCGAAATTGTCCATCAGTGACCACACGGTGTAACCAATAACATTGCACCCATTGGCCAAAGCTAAAATTTCTCTCACGATCAGTGGAAAGCGTCGGGGCGAAATCTCTCACAAATTCGATGGTACTGACATGGATCTCAATACTTTAGTGGAATCGAAAGGTTTGATAATATCTTCATGACAGTACGAAATAGTAGAGGTGACATCGGGAGCAGAAAGCGTTTTCTGAAGGTGAAGCGGGCATAATTCTTGTCACTCCCACAACAAAAAACTGAGTGAAAAGTGGAGTCGTAGAAAAAAGGTGGCCCACTTGTTTACCCAACCAACAAATACTATACATAGCTGGTAACCCAAAGAAATGCCGTGAAAATTGAACATTTTCTACCTTCTTTGATTGCTTCTATGTGTCCTTTGATGTAACGAATCCGATGTTCGTCGTTCAGCGGATCAACGCATCCGCTCTGAAAGAGAACAGTTGTAGGGTTTTGAGGTGTTGAAACTACAAAGGTGCGTAACCTTATCTCCTATAATATCAGCACAGCCATTTTCGGTTATCAGTACAGGAACATTATAAGAGTCCTTGATATAGTTGAGTAGCTCCGAGAGGCCTTCAGGAGCATACCGTAGCCACATTTCGTCACCGGCGATCCTTGAAAACGTTGTATTTGATGGATTAGGAAGCGAAAATATCCACGAAACGTAGTTACTCGAAGAACCCAGCAAATCCTATCCAGCTAATCCTTGTGCATTCGCTAGAGGTTACAATTGTTCCAAACTAACTTCTCCCACGGGCCTTCGATGTAATCGATATGAGCGTCAATTTCCAGAAGCGATGGTCCGTTGCCTTCGCATACTGCTTCGGTTAAGTAGTAGTTTATGCCAAGAAATTCTGCTGATCCTTAAATAACGATATCTATTGCAGTAATGGAACAATGCGCACATAGTGACAAGTTCAGACTCAAGGTAAAGTTGGCTGAACTGCTCGGCCAGACATGAAATGTTGACTGGAGAAATGGCAATTTGCTGAAAGTGACTTCTACACCCACAAAAGACAATTTCCTCACACATAATTTGATAAAAGCCCAATAATAAAGGAAAGGCTGAAGGACTCCCAGTTCACCGTTGGTGTCGTGAATCACGAGGATCACTCCGAGGGATCCTCGAGTGCGCGGTGGTCACCGTAGCAATTGACTGATCGTGCGGGAATCCCACCCTCGGAAACGGCGGTGGCTCTCGTCAGTTTCAGCCCTGCTCTTCTTGTTTCTACACCCGCTTCGAGCGGTTCATTTTTTCTCAAATTTTCTGCGCTACGGTCCCGTGGGGCTCCGGCCCTTAGAATGTCTTATGAAACTTACCAACCTGGAATTCTAGTTCACTGGCCATAGGCCCCTGATCTTTCTTGGGACTCTCTAAGTAGTCGTTTTATCCGATGTAGTTCACTAATGTTCGTTTCGAGTTGAGTTCATAAAAATATTGTTCTATCTGTGTATTCTCTTATGTAATGGGTAAAACCCGTGAATGTTTGTCTGATCGTGCATCAACTCTCTAACTCATATTTCATTGTGGGTTTGAAGGTGGAATAGATAGTCTAGTTCAGTAGTTTCTTCGCTGTGCCAAAATGCCCGGGGACCACCCAGATGCAACAGTTGGCATGAGCACAGGGCGCGTGATTAGTCCCCTCGAAGGCGCTCTTAGTGGCGATGCATGTCCCTATTAGTTCCCTAAAGGTCCACCTTTCCATTTTCCATCATACATATATCTTCTTATTTCACATCACATAATCCTCTTTTACAGCTTTCATGCTCATCAGTAGACATACCTTTTAACTCTTCCATTTCTTCTTTCGTAAACTTGGGAAGAAGCTGGAGCCCTTCTCTCTCTTCTATCACTTGTACGTCGCTCTTCATAGATTCTGGATAATCACCATTGTTCCCGAAAGATTGGCGACACGACCCAGTTGAACTTCCAATCGAGAGCTCTTCGAACAGCCTCAATGTCCTGTGAATCCTTGGAAAACGTCTTACACCATCTTCCGCCGACGGTGATGCCGAGTTGACCTGCAAAGTCTCACAGAATTCGCATCGCAGCAAGTGCACAGTTAGAAAATTCTCATGCGTATGTTATTTATTTGCATTTTTCAAGCTTGACAGGTGGAACATTTTGGTTGAATCAAGTCGCCTAGTTCGGAAGATGAGGTCAAATATGGCTCAAAAATCAGATTCTCGAGGCATCCCGGAATCATTGAAAAAAATCGAGCAGTTGATAAGTGGACGTTCGTCGGTGACTAGTGATCCTTCGCAGTTCATGCTGCACTCAAATTTTTACTAATTACTTGTTTGTCATCAGGTAAGGTTTGTGTAATGAGGATTATACTGGAACGATAGAATTCCGAGTTAGTCTATTTTCCAACTATTCTGGAATTTCTACCGAACTGTGGCTCTTGAGCAGTATGAGTAATAGGTAGAGGAAACACTGCTTGGACAGCACTGCTCCCTGCGACTCTATGTACTTTCTCTTGAATCAAGCAGGCGAGTCTACCCACAACCACCTTCCCATGTACAAGCAAGTCTACTTTCGGCTTACTTGGACTACATTTGTCTTCCCAATGCTCTGTTCGACGAGGATGTGGCACAATAATGTAATAGACAGGGAAGGGAATGTATTTCCACTCCCGGGGTGTGTGCATTTAGTTGGAACCTAGTACGGTAGCGTAATTAGCGGATTACTGTAGCGCACGGCAGGTCACTTCTCACCTCCCCGAAATTACCTGAGGGATGACCCCCTAAATGCTTGCGCTGAACACTGACATTTCTGGACAGCCCCAAACCAAGCAAAACGAAGCGAGTGAAATATTCAATATAATATCAGAGTGAACTACTGTTTTTGAACAGTGAATTTTTAAGTATCGAATGATACTTTATTAACATAACAGAAATTACTGAAAAAGAAACTGGAAGCAAAACAAAAAAAAATGTACATGATCCCTACTATAGGGAAAAAAAAGACATTTTGCTTTCACATTCAGATGCATCCAATCACACTTTGCTTATTTCAAACTGAATGGTCCCAACTTAGTATTGAAGAACACATTGCATTTTATATAAAGTGACCACCTACGTTGACGGCACCGGAAAGTTTAGCCCCAGAAACATGGTGCACTGGTCGAGCTTAATGGGGTCTTCGAATGATCGTGACCTTTACTCTAAAGTGAGTTCCAAGGGGGTCTGCATAGTAGGAGTTAAAGTCTTTAGGAATCTATCCAACATTGAATCGATTCACGAAATATGTAAGAGCTTCACAAGTGCGAAAGGCTACGCCCATTAAAGTTTTTCCATGAACTTCATTTCGATTAGATAGGATGCGCCCCTCCCGAACCACATTTTCACCAAGGAAAGTCTTTCATGACTTGAAGCGTTTCTTTTTTTTTCGAAATGGTTTTCTGCATGTTGCAGAGGCTCATGCAAGGGATACACAAAACCTATTCTTCCTGAAGGCCTTCAGGAATATCAAGGCAGTGGGGAAGGAATGATCCAAGTTCCAAATTGCCGCCAAACCACAACAATGACATCCTGGTTTGAACTCTGGGCCATTTCTTCACCACTGTTTTGACATTTCTAGAGGTGTTCAGGAAGGAGGATCATGGTTTCGTGCACAATGCTTACCCCTTGACATCATACAGAAAACCTTTCCGAAAAGCGTTCTATTTGATACTCAGAAATCTACTGCTCAAAAACAGTAGTTCACTCTGATATTATTTCACTCGCTTCGTTTTGCTTGGTTTGGGGCTGTCCAGAAATGTCAGTATTCAGGGCAAGCAATTAAGTGGGGTCATACCACAGGCAATTCTGGGGGAGGTGAGAAGTGACCTGCCGTGCGCTACAGTAATCCGCTAATGTACGCTACCCGTCTAGGTTCCAACTAAGTACCTCCACCC